TATTATTCAGTCGTCATATTCTAATTGTGCCAGTCCCATTGTACTTGTTAAAAAGAAAAATGGCACAACGCGATTATGTGTTGATTACCGCAAGTTAAATGATAAAATAGTAAAGGTCCGTTATCCATTGCCTATTATAGAGGACCAAATAAATAAACTTTAAGATGCTCGAATCTTTACAACGTTAGACTTAGAAAATGGTTTTTTTCACGTTTCAGTAGCCGAAGATAGCCGTAAATATACAGTTTTTATAGTACCCAACGGGCACTATGAATTTTTGCGGATGCCATTCGGGTTGAGTACTTCGCCCGCATCTTTTCAAAGATATATAAACGCTGTGTTTAATAAACTAGTGACGAAAGGAATCGTTTCAATATATATAGACAACTTAATTATACCCTCTGTCGATTATCAGGAAGCATTATTGCGATTAAAAGCAGTCTTGTTAGTAGCAAGCAAATACGGATTAGCAATAAACTGGAAAAAGTGTCAGTTTTTACAGACGAAGGTTAATTATTTAGGCTACGTTATAGAGAATGGTAATGTTGCGCCGGGCGAAGATAAAACTAGACCGATAAAAGATTTTTCGATACCAAAAAATGTAAAAGCGGTTCAGAGTTTTTTAGGCCTTTCAGGTCACTACAGAAAATTCATGTCCGGGTACGCAACAATTGTCCGTTAACAAATTTAATAAAAAAAGATGTACGTTTTTCTTTTGGCGATGAGGAAACAAAAGCGTTCAATCGATTAAAGAAGATCCTCTGTTCTAAACCGGTATTGCGTACATATTCTCTTAGCGCAGACACTGAGTTACACACCGACGCGTCGAATCAAGGTTTCGGGGCGATTTTGATGCAGCGGGATAGCGAAGATCGTTGTTTTCACCAGATTTATTTTGCAAGCACAAAAACGTCGGCAGCGGAGACGAAATTGCATAGTTACGAGCTAGAAGTTTTAGCAGTTGTAAAGCAGTTCAAAAAGTTTAGAATTTATTTAATCGGTATTCCATTTAAAATAGTTACTGACTGTCAAGCGTTTACATTAACTCTTAAAAAAGCTGATTGTTGTCAAAAATTGCAAGATGGGCTCTTTTCTTACAAGACTTTGCATACACCATAGAACATCGTCCAGGAAACTCCATGCGACATGTGGACGCCCTTAGTAGAAATGCTTTACCAATAACGATGACTATAACCGAGTGTCAAGAAACAATTGCGGCCAAGCTAAGGAAGAGTCAATTAGATGACGAAGAAGTAAAAAAGATTTGGGAACAGGCCAAATTAGGCAAAGCAGGAGGTTATTGTATTAAGAATAAGCTACTGTACAAGATGGTGAATAACGAAGCTCTGATAATGGTGCCTGAATCAATGCAACACAGTATCATTCGACATGTCTACGATCGAGGTCATTTTGCCGCCGAGAAGACAGAGAAGTTAATAAAAGCAGACTACTAGTTCAAAGGAATGCATCCAAAGATAGAGAAATATGTGCGGAATTGCATCGTCTGTAGCCTAGTCGAGAAAAAGTACGGAAAACTCGAAGGATGGTTACATCCCATCGATAAAGAGGACGTTCCGTTTGGAACGTATCATATAGACCACCTCGGACCTTTACCGTACACGAAAAAGAAATATAATTACATCTTACATCTTCGCAGTCATAGATAGTTTCACCAAATTTATCTGGCTGTATCCAGTGAAGACAACCAGTGTTGGTCCCTGAAGAATGCATGCATGTGTACCCGGGGGCCCCACAACGGGAAAGAGGGTGCAGTAAGTAGAGGGGGAGATTTTTCAGGCGGTAGGCCATGTCGACGATCTCGACGTCCTTCCGGGCGGCGAAGCGCTAGGCATGGAATCCGTCACACCCGTGGAAACCGGGCCATCCATGGTGGGACGAGAAAGGGTTGGACTGGCCTCGGCCAGGAAGGCCCCGAATCGTCGCTCCTTGGAAGATCAGGCCAGAAAATTTTTACTCCTTCCACGCAAAACAAAAAAAAAGACGACCAGTATTGCCGAAGTAATGGACAACTTGACCAAACAAAGCGCTATTTTTGGGAATCCAAGACGCATCGTTTCGGATCAGGGTAACGCATTTACCTCTCATAATTTTAAAGAATACTGCAAAGACGAAGCGATAGAACATGTATTAATTGTCATCGGTGTACCCCGAAGAAATGGCCAAATAAAAAGAGTCAATCGTACTTTAATACCATTATTAACAAAACTAACAACACCCAATCCAGCGGAATGGCACAAATACGTTGAGAAAGCGCAAAAATATCTAAACAGTGTACCTAGCAGAAGCACTGGAATGTCACCA